CGCGCTGGCGTTTGCGTCCCGAATATGTACACCGGCGGTCCGAATGAATATACGTAGCGAGTGAGATTGTTGGTAGGGAGTTCAGCATTGAAGCATCGATGAAGCTGCAGTCGCTAAGCTATGAGTGCTTTATGTGTAGTGGATTGCTGGGGTAGGATAAAGGTAAGTTCGCGCAGGTTATGAATGAGGATGCACCGCAGATCGTGTACTTTAAGGTGGAATGGAATTTAAGTGATGTGGTTTGCATTTCTGTGTTTTTACTCGAGTGGCAATTTTCGTTAGGTTTTTTTATGTTACTGTAAGCAGTTACTGTTCACTCTGAATATTTTATATGAGGGCGTGTAACTCTGTCTGTATAATATGTTAAATAAAAGAGTGACTATTGTGGTGTAGGTGAGTGTCTTGGTGACTGTAACCGTCGTTGATTGATTCTTGATTTGATGTTAGGTGGGTGTAATCGTAAGACCATCGACTGGAAAGAAGGTTTCAATGTTTCAATAGCTGGAAGATGTAAATGTTGGCCTCAATCGGTTTCAAGGTGGCGATGCACAATATATTTTTTTTCAAATATTCCAGTTGCTTTTGGTCATGTCGACACTCTAGCGAACTTGGTGGCGGTAAATGTGAGATGATTTCACAGTTGCACCAAGGTTATATTTTATCGTGTTTCACATTTTTAATTTGAATGTAGTCAGGTCAATAAGTTACTGTATTATAAGTCGATATGAGACCTTTGGGCAGCATCGATAGTGGCTAATTCACGCAGATAATAATCAGAATCGTGTTGATAAACGTTAAGGCAAACACTGTTTATGATCTTATTTTGACAGGTATGTATTTGAGCGCACTTAGCGGTTAGGTTGGTTGGTGTAGTAACTATTAAGTCTGAGGGATTATCAATCAGTTTAATTGTGCTCCTGATATACGATTGATTTATGTTATTATTATTAGGTCATCTGCATGTTCAGAGTGCACTGGTAGAATCGGGGCTTGATCGGTCCGTCGCGTGCGTGCGAGCGTCTTGGTCGTCCAGTGGCGTCTCGTCCGTCAACCGTTTTGGGCAGCATGTTTAACGGGCGCTCGACGGTACTGTCACGATAGGTCGGGTCGGTTGGGTGGTGATGCGTCAAAAGCGGAGGTTGTGATGGTGCGAGAAGCTGGGGGTCAAGGTTTCTAAGTGTCAAGAGGTAGTAAAGGAAGGGGGAAGATTCACTCGCTTGGAAGTTAAGTGGTTATAGGGGAGTGGAATATGGGCGAATTGCGGCACGAAATTAAACGGCTCGACCTAGCTCGTGGATAGTCTTGGGTGTATGAGCATCATGGTGTTAGGGGAGAAGCTGAGTCATCCTGTGTGCGAAATTGGAGGTCGAGGCAGGTCATGAGCCGTCAATGGGGAGCAGGGAGATTTTTAGTCATTGTTTTCTGAGGAAGTGGGTTTCTGGACGGAGCGATGGGGAAAAGCTTTTTTGGGTGGTGTCGCCGGTGACTGAGATTTTTATGGCGATTATTTAGAAGACGATGAATGATTTACTTTTCTGCGTTTGACTGCGAAGGAGTAATGTGTCTAGATAACGTTTGTTGACCCTCGGAAGATGGGGGTTTAACATGGATTTGTTTTGTACTGGGTCTGTTGAGAAAGATTGTTGGACTGTCCTGGTTTGCTAGAGTAGATTGATACATGCTGGATGGTTATGAGCGACAGTGTCACAGTGAAATTCAAGAGGTTAGAATTGGTTAAAGAGGTTTATGCTCCTGTAATCGTGATTATTTTAGTTATGGCTTTGTACTGGTCGAGTGGGGATTGTTTCATGTAGTATGCCACTTGCAGGTGTGATGCAGTGCATGTCGTGGTGGTATGGTGTCGAGTTGCTGTTAGTTGTTACAGGTGGCAGTCTCTATTGCGCGCTGTAGGCTTGCGTAGGTAAATGGATGGAGGTGTTACTATTCTGTGTTGCAGATAGTGGTGTTACTAGGTATGTGGGGAGGTCTGGTCCACTGCGTGTTACATCTGAAGACACTTAATTCGTACGCGCCATTCGTGGCAGACTTCTACGATCTCCAACGAACATTCTTTTGACGAGGTTTGATACATCCTGTGGCATTCCACTGTTTCGGGTGTTATGTGAACACATTTGGGAACTACAGGTTTACTAGAATCCACCAAGAGGCCCGCATAGCGTGAGTATGAGCGGCTGGTCGCCTTGCGGACTTGTTACATTTATTATCAACATTAATTGCACTCCACATTTCAGGCCTCTACAGGGGAAGCCAGGTGGTGTGATCAACAGTATATGAAGGTCTACAGGACAGTGAGTGAGAGGAGGGTAAATTCATACGTCTTCGAATATTATGCCTTATACCAATACGTGTGCCAAAATTCGCGAGTATTTATATTTTACACAGTAATTATTGTTGGATAAGAGCACTTCAAATCTATACATATAGGCTGTGCTGTGAACGTCTATGAAAGAGATGTTTGTCTCTCACTAATATGAATCGTGGCAGCTTCAGTATGTGGAATTGGTAGATATTTCTCCAAGTTCGTAGCATGCAAGAATCAGTTCATGGTATGTTATTTTTCTAGTACAGCGCATTTACTCATGCCGCAAGGATGGTTTATTACTATTGTATATAATTTCACATTTGTATTACTAGAATTTAGTACAAAAGTTTATTGATTAACACTTAAACTGTTTGTTACTTGTGTAGGTAAGCCGTTACTCATTGTTGTACATTGTTGTGCTTTGTTGTTACTTTTATATATGTACAAGTTGTGAGATATGTTTTCATGTTATACCAATATGTTCTGGTTTTCGCCCTATATATTATGGTGAGACGTTGGATTGGATATTTTAATTATGATATAGTTTTGGGCTCGTTGTCCAGGCTAGATCATTGGCTCGATTCACCGGATCGCGGCACTTTCAGTCAGAGAACGAGTTCACCCCAATGTAATTAGATTATAATTAGATATATTAGATACTATACTATAATTAGATGTCATTCGATTTTTTTTTTAAATATATTTTCCAGCGGCTACGATTACGGCTCCCGGACCTTCCAGTCGGAGAACAAGCGACTCGGCCATGAGCTCGTACAACATTGTACGTTATGTTAACGCCCAAACTTATTCCCCCCCAATGTAATTAAATGTCACTAGATATATAGTTTCCAGCGTTCGTTTTCCAGCGCTACGATCACGGCTGCGTCACTTTCAGTCGGGAGAACAAGCTCCCCTCCTGCCCGACGGTAATGTAGAAGATCGATGTATATTTATGATAGCGTATTTTAACATACTTGCTAGCAGCGGCTGCGATCACGGCTGGTCCGGACAGCTTCCGAGTGCGGAGTAAGCGTGTTCTCACGTGCTTGCCTCGCCGGACGTTGAATTGAGAGATTATATTTAGGATACGTATTTTAATACTGTACGAGCGGGCGTACGATCAGCGGTCCGGACACTTCCAGTCGGAGAACGTGTCCTCACCTCTCCCCCCGACGTAATTAGAAGATTCGATTATATTTAGATACGTATTTTAACATACTTTACAGCGGCTACGATCACGGCTCCGGACACTTCCAGTCGGAGAACGTGTCCTCACCTCTCCTCCCGACGTAATTAGAAGATTCGATTTAGATACGTATTGTTAGACATCTTTTACAGGCGGCTACGGACGGTGGACGCGGCTCGGACATTCGTGGAGGTCGGTAGCGAACGATGTGCTGCACCTCTTTCGCGAGGTAATTAGAAGTTTATGATTGTAGATATCGATGTAACTATATCTTTATCGGCGGCTAAGATCACGGGCTCCGCACTTCAGTCGGGAGAAGTGTCTGGCTTCTCCGAGTAATTGAGGTGAAGATTAGATTATATTTAATACGATATTTTAAGATACTTGGTAGCTGGGCTACGATGGGCACGGCTGGCCGGAGCATTCGTCGGAGAACGTGGTCTCTCTCCTCCCCGACGTATTAGATATATTCGATGGTATATTTAAGATAGGATTTTAAGTATCTTTTACAGCGGCTGACGAGTCACGGCTCGGGACATTCCGCTCGGGAGAACGTGTGTCACCTCTCCGACGTAATTAGAGATTATATTTAGATAGTATTTTAAGCATACTTAGTACGCGGGTTCCGATCACGGCTCGGAATTCAGTCGGAGAACGTGTCCCGCTCTCCCGAGGCGTTAATTTAGAAGTTATATTTAGATACGTGATTTTAAACTATTAAGGGCTACGATCACGGCTCCGGACACTTCCAGTCGGAGAACGTGTCCTCACCTCTCCCCCGACGTAATTAGAAGATTATATTTAGATACGTATTTTAACATACTTTACGCTGGCTGCGATCATCGGTCCGGACTTCCAGTCGGGAGAACGTGTCCTCACCTCTCCCCCGACGTAATTAGAAGATTATATTTAGATACGTATTTTAACATACTTTACAGCGGCTACGATCACGGCTCCGGACACTTCCAGTCGGAGAACGTGTCCTCACCTCTCCTCCCGACGTAATTAGAAGATGTCATTATATTTGATAGTATTGTTAACATACTTTGCAGCGGCTTGAGCGATCAGCGGGCGCGGCACTTTCAGTCGCGGGGACGTGTCTTCACTCTTCCCCGCGGATGGTATATGTAGAAGATGTATATTAGATACGTATTTTACAATAGCTGTTACGCTGGCTGACGGGGTGCACGGGCTGCGGATGCAGTGTGTCTGGTCGGGAAACGGGTCCGTCGATCTCTCGCTCCGGATCGTATAGTTAGAGATGATTTGTTAGACATTACGTATTTTTAAATGGCTATTTTCAGCGGGCGACGGATCGCGCTGGCCGGGAGCGGCTTCCAGTTCGGAGAGCGAAGCGACTCGGGCGCGAGGTTGAGGCTGGCTGCACGGAGGACCAGACCTTGCGGTCTGGCCGCTGTCGGCGTCAGGAGGTGCGGGGTTGCGCGGCAGGACGGGCCGGGCGCTGTCTCCGAGGTGTCGAATGACGGCGGACGACATGGCTCGGCAGTTCAATGGTGCAGATCGCCGCCGCCGGCCGCCGTCCAGCAGGGCGTCCGGGTCGTTAGGCGCTCACGACGCGACGGCGGCGCCCCGAGTCCGAGACCGGTTCAGCCGGTACCGGTGACGCGGCTCACGTAGGTGTTGTTACGTCGCGTCGAGCCGATTTTTTTTTAACAATTTGGCGATGTTTTTGTGCAGTGAGGTCGATAGTAGGTTATGATCGAGTTAATAATAGTGTTATTATTCTTTTTATTTACCTGCAGTTATTAAGTACTTAAGCATTAAGTTTATGTTATTAACCCCTATTATTAATTATTTCGATGGTTCCAAGTGTAGGTCGCATAGCGTCGTTTTTCATTTTCGATCCACTTTCTGTGGATTATTCTCTCGTTTTTCTGATGATGATGATATTTTCATGCGATTTGCATCAAGAGGTAATCATAGGGTTATTATGATTATTTCTATTATTTAGCCACAATAGCCTGGGTAATATGTTAATCCTCATTTCAGTTTTATTATATATCTTTATACCTGTTGACCGACCACTTGTATAAAGGTTGATCTGTAGTTGTATCATGCATACGTCAACATTATTCTATAGATATGTTCATAATATATGTATATATATATATATATATATATATATATATATATATATATATATAGGTTCATATTGTAACTCAGCTGCATTTTACCTTTTGTTCTACAGAAGTTGGGAGATGGCGGATCATCAGCTCTGAATGCTTCGTATTGGGTGCGCAGAGTTGGAGAGGCAAGTCTCACTGTTGTTCTTTGTTCTTTCTTACTATTGTTCTTATTGACGTATTTGGTCCTTCATATTTCAGTAAAATTTCTTAATGTCTCAACTGGCAAGAATCTTCGTTTGTTTCTGACCTAACCCTTACTCTGTAGATGGAGAGGTTATGCTCATATAATGCTTTAGAAGTTATAGCACAAAATCTAGTTTGCAACAGAAAAAGATTGGTTTTAACTTTAACAACTCAGAGTCCTTTTTTTTCTAGATATACAAACGCACATTAGTCGTTTATTACTTTTATTTTTTAGTTGTCTGAACAACTGCAACAGAACAGTGAATACTGGTCAGAAAAAATCAACACCATCTCTAGGAAGATTAACAAACTACAGGAATGCAATGGAGCCATCACAGACAATAAGATGACGCCAGTATTTATTTGAACTGTTATAACATATCTCAGTGCAATCAGACCCCCAAAGTTAACCAACTGTAAATATAAATCTAATTGCATGAGATCTCATGTAATTCCGACTTGACCTTTACTCTGTAGATCAAGTAGTTGTTCTTAATTGTACCTGTATAACCACGGCTGGCACAATGCCCTTACAGCTACTGTGATTGGATAGATTTACTACTCTCTACCAAGAAATGGAGTCGGACCAGTATATTTATTGCTCATCAGGTATATTTCATACTTTATATTAGGTTGTTATTGTTATTATGGTTACCTAAACAATAATTTCAGGGCAGTTTATGAACCTCTAATTATCCGAGCCATGTAACAATACCTCTAGTGAAGGCCAGGGTAAAGCAACATTAGCGATGGCTTTATCAAAGCTTGGTTCTAGTTAGAAAAATTTCCATTAATACTCTAATGAATTCGCTGTTTCTAAAAACCTGTTAACCCTAGCAAGGACGCTGTTAAATTATTAGTAATTGCTAGAGCATGTAAGGTTACGCAGTGCTATTATACTATTGGTTTGTGGATCACCCGATATAACGAGGTGTTGCTGTTGGTTGTACGTTTGCTCTGCTGATAGGACAGTGGGGGGACATATTTAACTAAACTAACGAATATGTAAACTTCGACTCCAAGTCTGGTGTGACGGGATGGCATTTAATACACTAACATGAGATTCAGCAGAGCTGTTCAGAACATTAGTGGAGATCACTGGCCATGTCAAATGTCTCTTCACCAGATTGTCAAACTCAAACTCGTTGTGCCATTAATATTCGAAAACCGTAAATGTCTTCCACTACGGAATTAGTTTGCCACGTCCAAAATTCACAGGTAGGTTGAGCTATCTATGCATTTGTGATAAAGAGTTATTATTGTTTGTAAATACACAAGATTTGTTTTTCTTCATCTGTGATTTATGTTGATATTAACCGATTTTGTGGACCTCTTGTTTCCGATATGACATTTATGTATGTGCCACTGCATGGTACATCATGATTAAAGCTATGATTTTTTTCTTGCAAACGCAATTAAATGGTGAACTATGACAAATTGTTAATATGGTACTGTATATATAATAATATCTCCACAACATGATAAAATTTAGGGGGAATGGCATAGCGTAAAGCAGCTAATTATAAAGTCAGTCGAGGCAAAACCTGGTTTTGTTAATTAGAAGCCGCATTTATACATAACAGCAATTGAATAGATAACATATTGAACTTCCTCGTATTTGCACAGAATATTGTACATAGCAATGAACACGTAACATATTCTAACATGCGTTTGTCCCAAGTTGGAATAAAAAACATGGTTTGCGTAGAAAATGTTTCACGTGTTTTTTTGAGTCAAGTGTCGAGTTGAAGACTGAAACCATATATATATATATATATATATATAATATATAATATATAATTACTAGGATATTATTTCTATGGTCAAAACCATTGCCAGTAATGACACGCTGTGTTTATGCTGCGGCAGTTCTGGAGCTAAGCGAGTCATATTATACCGCTGAGTCTGACTATGAAGGAGGCATTCCTGATGCTACCTATACATATGCAACAGTGAGCGCAAGTGTATCGTAAAGGGAGCAACACTTAGAAAATATAATTGGGGAGCTGGCGTTGCCTGGAAACATGCCTTTTCCATTACATCTTGAGAGCTATATTGACAGCACAGCACAGAAAGTTGACAGCACAGCACAGAAAATTACTACAGTGAATTGAGTGCCAAATATTTATATTTTAAAGAATACTGATACAAACGTTACACATCATCACTACTACAATTGCATAAACATAGATAAACATAGACTCATAGATTCTTATCTTTTATAAAAACAAGTGATAAAATTCTTTTGGATCAAACAAGTACCAATCAATTGTTCATTTCTTTCTTACGTACACGTAATAGCAAATTTCATAGCAAAACATCCTCAAAATATGGG